GACTTTCAGATAGTTTTTTTTTTTGGACATTTAGGTCAATTAAGGCAAACTTTTACACATCACATACGACACAAAACCCAAACTCAAAATCTAGTGGTTGACACCCAAAACTGTCAACCAAAATACGAAGGTGAGCAGCAAAACTTTCACATAGCGACTGTAAAACATGTGAAACATTCATAACATAAGATTTTTGTTGAATGAATCAGACTTTGGTTACAAATTTATTGTGAGATAGACCTTTCAAATTACATTCAAATTTTTACATCAATTTTAGAACTATCTATGCTACACTAAGAAGAGAGATTTCAGCCTCATATTGGCCTCTATTGTTGCAACTTTTTGAGTTTCACAGAAGGAGAAATGATTCATATAACGAGGTTGGTATAATATCACCTATTTTAATCTAATATACATTTAAGAGGCAATGAAAAAATATCAGCCCATATTTTTGCCTATCTAGGTCAAGGGCCAACCTAGGAAGAGATTAGGGTGAACGTTTGGAGCAATTATTACATCCGATGTCCGAATGCGTTCAGAGACCAATAATCACGTGCCACGTCACCTAAAACTCGGTATTTTGAACTCGGTATTGCTCGGTATACATTTGGACCGTTCAGTTTTTGACCAGATGTAATAATTTCTTGAACGTTTGACTATCATAAATTTTTTTCCCCTCAAGTAAACTAAGCATTTTCGCTATTTTGCTCCCCGTTAATATATATATATATATATATATATATATATATTTGTCCAAATTCTAAGAAAAGAACCCGTTTTCAATTTTATCTTCGAAGTTATGCATGTATCAATCTTATTTTACTCACCTTCAAAATCAATGGTATCAAAATTGGTCAATGGGTATGGTTTGAGTCTGACCTGAACTTGACCCGACCTACATCCTGCCTACTTGAACCCGACCAGTTTAATGATTAGGTCGGAATGCGCAACCCGAACCTTGCTTGTTTATTAAGCAGAGCAACTAGAATCTAATTTTTTCGGGTAGGTTTTGATTCGGGTTGACGGGTCCGATCATTTATTGACAGTCATACTCAAAGAAAGGTTGATTTTGTTCTCAATCTGAACGTGCTAACGTTATGTAGGTTAGACACCCCGAATCTGGAGAGATTATTCTATGCGTACATCGGACCGTCCGAAGGCGAATCAGAGCGCATCACATCACCCGTTACACAGCCTACGGTACAAAACAAAAGGAGTGACGTGGCGCGCTCTGATTCGACTCCGGACGACATCTGATATCCGCACATAATAATTTTTCTTGTATCTGATCCATTTAATAAACGGGTCGAAATTCATCACCTTTCCTACTCATTTATTAAACGGGTTAACTCAAATCTAAAATTTTTATGTCGGATTCCAACCGGGTTCGTAGGTCAAACAGGTCAGCTCATTTATTAACACCATACTTATAAAGAGATGTTAATGTCGCTCTGGTTCTGAACCTGCTAACGCTAAGTAGATAAGACAAGCTACAAATGCACTGAAGTTTTTCAATAAAATAATGATTATTTATTTATTGTTATTAATATACAGATGAGGTGTTTGATTTTACGTTACGATAACTTAAAGTCGCGTTCTGCCAGCACATCAAAATTCGGTCCACCAGCTGAGAAGCTCCAGCTTCCTGGGCTTGGTCGGGCTGGCAGATTTCTTTTTTATGAAGAAAAATGAATAGATATAGGAGCATTGAGGGCACATGCCCTTGCTGCTTCAGATCTATCTCATTGGATTATTTTATTAAATAACTTCTTCACTCTTCTTTATTTTATGACAGCTAAAATTAAATTAAAAAAAAAAGAAAAATAGTTAAAAAAAAGCAAAAAAATTTCAAGGAGAGTTTGATTATTGTTTTCTAAAATAATTTTTAATATAAGATTTTATTAAATTAAAAATTTTGTATTAAAAAGTTACTTTAAAAGAAGTAAGAAAGTTGTTACAAATGAAGCAATAATTGAAGATGAAAAAAATTAATTCATCATCTAAGGCTTCATTTGAAACAACTTTCTTACTGCTTTTTAAAGCAATTTTTTTATAAAAAAATTTAGAAATTTCTTGTTTTTATGTACTATAAAGTTGCTTTAGAAAGCAGCAAGAAAGATGTCCCAAACAAATTCTTTAAGATTGCTTTTCTCCATTAATTTTTCACAGCTTTCATTTAATTTTTTTTGCTAGAAAACTGCTTTTAAAAGTAGTAAAAAAGCCTTCCCAAACGAAGCCTAAAGCTTCGTTTTGGACATATTTCTTATTGCTTTTAAAAACAACTTTTTACTATAAAAATTTTAATTTTTTTTATTCAAATTTTTTTTTAAAAAAGCAATGAGAAAGTCGTGCCAGATGAAGCCTAAGTCTAACATCTCATATTAAATCATATAGATGACTTAGTGGGAAATTTTGCTACTATAAAGTTTTTTTTTTTTTTTTTTTAAAGTAGCGAGAAATTTGTCCCAAACAAAGCCTTGAAGATAACCTTTGGCCATTACTTTTTTGCTTCTTTGGTTTATTTATTTATTTATCTATTTTTGCAAGAGAGACAATTTTTGAAAGCATTAAAAAAAACTTCCCAAACAAAATCTAAGGATTTGTTTTGGACAGCTTTCTTATTACTTTTTAGTAAAAAAAAATAATTTTTGTATTAAAAATATATTTTAAAGATCAATAAGAAAGTCATTCCAAATGAAGTCTAAGGCTTCGTTTGGGACAACTTCTTTATTGCTTTAAAAAACGAGCAATTATTAGGTCATTTCACTGGATGTAGAGGAAGGTTCGGTTTTAGGCAAAAATAGGTCAAAATGTGCAAATACCGAGTTTTTTGAAAAACTCGGTATTTTTTCAAAAAACTCAGTATTTGCACTTTTTTAGGCAAAACCGAACCTTCCTCTAGGTCCTTGCACCGGACCAAATAAAAGTTCTTCAAAAACGGTATTACAGTATAAAATTTTCTAATTCAAAAAAATTTTGTACTAAAAAGTTGTTTTAGAAAGCAGCAAGAGAGATGTCTCAAACGAAACCTAAATCTAACATCTCATATTAAATCATCTAGATGACATAGTGGGAAACATATATATTTTATTTTATTTTATATTTATTTTTTTTAATATAGTCAAAAACATATATATTAACCTAATTGGGAATTCCTTCTAGAAATTCTCCGGGGCCCACGACAAGCCAATCCTCATAGGGGGTTTGGATGCTTCTTGGAATATGATTCAATGAATTCATATAGTTGGGAAACATATATGAATTCATTGACTCAGTGAGTTAGGGTTTTCGACTTTTTATCTCTAAATAATTGTTCTTTAAAGAGAAAGTTTTCTTTTTAACTCATGATATAATGAATTTATGATTCTGTTACGATATTCAGAGATAAATGAGAGTGCATCACGTTATTTTTTTGCTGTGTGCTGCTATTTATTAGGTGACATGATGCGCTCTCATTCATCTTCGAATGGTCCGATGCCCGCACAGAATAATATCTCGATGTAAATATGTAATGTGAGCAAAAATAACATCATGCACTTAGGTCCGGGACTTAAGATTTTATTTATACTCGAGTGCATTTAAATTAATTTAGCTCATTGTAAAAATAAAATAAAATGCTTGATCCCTATACATAATAGATTTAATGTAAAATTTTAATGAGATGCACAAATTTCAAATAATAAAAATCTTTATTTTGATGGAAATTTTATAGATATAAAAATAAGATGGCACTTAATTTATAATTTAATATTTATATGAATCAATAATAGAAATTTTCGAATAATAAATACTATATATTTCAAAGAAATCATTAGCTATTTTTTAAATTCACCATCAATATTTCCTTTACATGTAAATAAAACTATCTAAAATGAACTTTTAAGATAATAAAGATTAATTTTATTATAGTGCCTCTTAAGATATTCATAGATTTTTTTTTAGACAGGATGAACGATCAAATTCGGCTTACTAAAATTCTTAAATTTATTTTCAGTCAGGACCTTATGAGTTCAAGCAAAAAAATCATTTAAGTTTCATTTGGGAGAATTTTTTTATTTCTTTTTAAAAAGCTACTTAAAAACATACTAAGATTTTGTTTGGGAGTGCTTTCTTATTGCCTCTTAAAACAACTTTTTAGTAAAAAAAAATTAATTTTGTAAGCAATAAAAAAGCCGTTCCAAACAAAGCCAAGAGGGCTATCCCAACGGAAGGCTTCATTTGAGTACGTTTTCTTACTGAATTTTAAATCAGTTTTTTAGTAAAAAGATTTTTGGACAAAAAAATATTTAAAGAAACACTAAGAAATATGACCGAAATAAGAGTTATTCTGTGGAATTTTTATTACGTCCGGTGTCCTGACGTAGCTCTACGTTCGGACGCCAATAACATGTCGCCACATGCTCATACTCTTTACTGCGCGGCCCGACGACCTGACCCAGACCGGAAACCGATATTGCTATGTTCGTGTATTGCTAGGTATTGATAGGTATTGCTCGGTATTGCTTGACAATAACGAGAAATACCGCTCTATCAAGACCAATACATAGCAATACCTAGCAATACCTAGCAAAACTAGGGTATTGCTCGTTATTGCACTTGATAGAATGGTATTTTTCGTTATCGAGCAATACCGAGCAATATCCCGGTTTGCACAAATCAGCCAATACATAGCAATACCGGATCCGTGTCCGAGTCGGGTCGTCAGGCCGCGCGGTAAAGAGTAGGAGCACGTGGCACCATTTTACTGGCGTCCGAACGTAGAGCTACGTCAGGACACCAGATGTAATAAAAATTCTATTCTGTGAGGGTTCAGGCGGGAGGAACAGTCCGGATTATGAGTGTACACACTATGTGTAAACAATGTGTATAAATATTTATATATATAATGTGAACACTCATATGTCATAATAATTCTTCCGTCTAAACTCCCCATAGAATAATTTCTCCCTCGAAACGAAGCCTTAATACTCTTAAATAACTTAAGCCATGGCCCCTTGATAGCCCGGTTGGCATCTTGAATGTCCCGCTTGCCGCCCGATACTCATAAAACCAGTTAGTTGGGGTGGTTGTATCTCCTCCCCCACCTCCCTCCTACACACACAATTTAAACTCCTTCTCTCCCAATCCACCTCTCTCATTCCAAGCTCTCCTGTGCTTCGATTTCCACACCATGGAAGATCACAGAGCTTCTGTTCCCAACAAAGAACTCAAACTCCCCAGCTTTATTCAATCCGTAAAGCTCAAATACGTGAAGCTTGGTTACCATTACTTAGTCTCAAACGCCATGTACCTCTTTCTCCTTCCTCTTCTCGCCGCCGCCTCGGCGAAGTTCTCCACTCTCACCGCCGACGACTTCCACCTACTTTGGAACAAGCTTCAGTATAATCTCATCTCAGTTGTGCTCTGCTCCGCTCTCATCGTCTTCCTCTCCACCATTTACTTCATGAAGAGTCCTCGCCCCGTTTACTTGCTTGACTTCGCTTGTTATAAGGCTGGGGAGATGCAGAAGAGCACAAGGGAAGGGTATATTGAGAGGGCGAAGCTCACCGGGGCTTTCACAGAGGAGAGTCTGGCTTTCCAAGTAAGCTGATTTTTTTTTTTTTGGAGAAGAAATTTTGAAAATGATATATAATGTGTAAGTAAAATAATGAGAAATAATTTTATTTTAATTTTTTTAATAAAATTTGTGTTACTTTTTATACTATTTTGTGGTTTGTTTTAAATCATAATATTATAATCCTAAAATTAATTAAATAGAACTTATTAGAAATAGTTTTTTTATGAAAATTAAATTTATTACTTTGCTAAATAGTAATTTCATCAAATATGATTGTGATGAATTTTTTTTATTTTTTTTATATTAAGGCATTTGTGAAGCTTACTATTTATATTAATTAGTGTTAACAGAACATAAATCCTATAGATAACCTCTTATAAAATAACCTAAAATGAAATTATTATTATAATTATTCATATTATAAGATATTGTTTCACAAAAAATTATTTATTAATATAAGCATTTATTAAAAAAATCAAATACGTAATGATGTAATCAAGAGAATAATAATGAATTCTATATCATAAATGAGTTGATTTTGATACATCATCTGTCTACCGAATTTTTTATATTTAATATAAAAAAAATAGATATGAAAAGTTTTGTGACTTAGAAAATATTATTTCTATTTTACTTCATAATAAAAATTTTTAAACTATGTTGATTTTAGGAGAGAGTGATCGAGCGATCAGGGCTCGGACAATCGACGTATTTGCCGGAATCCATCGCGAGGATTCCGGCAAATCCGTGTATGGCGGAGGCACGAAAGGAGGCCGAGGCGGTCATGTTCGGAGCCATCGATGAGCTCTTGGCCAAGACGGGGGTGAAGGCAAAGGATATTGGTATTCTCATAGTTAATTGTAGCCTCTTCAACCCTACCCCATCACTCACCTCCATGATTGTCAATCACTACAAGCTTAGGGGCAATACTCTTACTTACAATCTTGGTGGCATGGGTTGCAGTGCTGGCCTCATCTCCATAGACCTTGGCAAGCATCTTTTACAAGTTAGTATTTCTTTTTTCAATTTTCATATAGTTTTAAATAATAATATAAGTTGAATTTTATGAAAATTAATCTTTATTTTTTTGGCATTTTCTTTTATACAAAAAGCAGAAATTATACACAAACTCTCTTAAAATTAGTGAATATTCATTCATTAAATTAGGCGGGGTTGAAAAATTATTCTTGGTGGTCACCGGACGACTTTCCGAGACAAATCAGTGTGGGCCACATCACTTTTTTGTTGTGTACCATTGTATAACGGGTGACGTGACGTACTTTAATTTGCCTCCTAACAGTCACGTGAGCGCACATAATAATTTCTCCCATTCAATATATGAAAGCACAGTATACACAACTGGATCCAGGTTATTAGCTGCAGGGCTATTGGACTTCTGTGTCTTTTTCATGATATATATATAGAGTGAGAGGATAGCATTGAAGGTCCTGTCACATAAGTTTAAATATTAAATTCTATGAACAAAATATTTATTTAATTAATATTATAAATTAAAGTTTAAAATTATAATTATAATAGAAAAAAAAATTGTGTTAAGTATCAGCTTCAAAATTATTAAATTTATTTTAAAATTAATTATACTAACTTTAAAGTAAATTTAATTATTTTCAATTAAGCTCATATTAATATAATTCAGCCTATATTGTAATAAACTCTAAAATAAATTCAAATAAACAATTTCACTTAATTCATTTAGCTCTATTTTAATTATGATAAGCGCGTCATCATATCAGAATTAGTGCACTGGATCTCCCCTTCAATTTATGAATTTTGGAAAGTTTTTACGTTGCACCTCTTTAATAAAAAAATAAAATAAAATAATAAAATTAAAAATCATGTTTTTTTATACTGTAATTTATCCATTTATACGAATGCAGGTCCACCGCAACTCCTACTGTCTCATCGTCAGCACAGAAAACATAACTCTCAACTGGTACCTCGGTAACAGCCGCTCAATGCTTCTCTCCAACTGCCTATTCCGCGTCGGCGGCGCCGCCGTCCTCCTCTCCAACCGCCGCCAAGACCGCCGCCTCTCCAAATACCAGCTCCTCCACACCGTACGCACCCACAAAGGCTCCGACGACCGCTCCTACAACTGCGTATTCCAATCACAAGACCCGTCCCTCCTCACCGGCGTCTCCCTCTCCAAAGACCTCATGTCCGTCGCCGGAGAAGCCCTCAAAACGAACATCACCACCCTCGGCCCCCTCGTCCTCCCCCTCTCCGAACAACTCCTCTTCTTCGCCTCCCTTCTCTCCCGCCGCGTCCTCCGCATCAAATCAATCCGACCTTATATCCCCGACTTCAAGCTCGCTTTTGAACACCTCTGTATCCACGCCGGCGGCAGGGGAGTTCTCGACGAGCTCGAGAAGAACCTTCGGCTGACGGAGACCCACATGGAGCCGTCGAGAATGACGTTGTATAGGTTCGGGAATACGTCGAGCAGCTCGCTGTGGTATGAGTTGTCGTATACGGAGGCGAAGGGGAGGATGAAGAAGGGTGACCGCACTTGGCAAATAGCGTTTGGGTCCGGGTTCAAGTGTAACAGTGCGGTTTGGAAAGCGTTGAGGACGGTTGAACCGGTCAAGGAGAAGAACCCGTGGATGGACGAGATTGATAGTTTTCCGGTTCGTATCGGGTAGACCGGACCGGACCGGTTGTGGTTTTATTACTTCTGATTGTATTTGATTGGATTATTAGGAGGTAAAGTTAGTTCCCTAAGAAAGCTTTTATGGGAATTATTTATAAGGGGGGGTTTATTTCCTAAAAAGCAAGTTGTAAGAAAGTTCTCCAAACAGACCTTTAATGTGAATAATATAATTTATATTATGATGAATTTAAAAATTATTGATTTTTTTAAACTAATGTCTTATAAATTAGCCATATACTACTAATCTCAAAGTAAATCCAATGGGTTTAAATTCTTTCTAATGACAAATTAAATCATGATAACCAAGCGAAATTTTTTCCATTGTTTAATGGGGAATTTCTATTTTTATTTTTAAATTTTATATAAGATTATGTGTTTATAGATCACTAAGGAATTATGTTTAAAAAATATAAATAGTTTAATAGTAATTTTTATTAATACGTAAATAGCTGTTGTTTATGCAATCCTTCTATTTATATTTAAATATTAGACTTTTTTAGCGAAATTTGTATTTATGTTTTTTTATTTCTATAAAAAAAATTAATTGATGCATATAATTTTTTCTTCAATTTAATACCAATGATGTTAAAAAAAGTTAAAGAATTTTTTTTATGAAGGATTTTATTCATTATTTTATAAGGATTTTAGTTTTATATGTTTTGATAATTTATTTATTTTTTATTTTCTTAACTAAAAAGATGCTTTAAAAATAATAAAGGAAATAAATGTTTAAAATATTAAAATAATAATGCATTTAATTTATCTGATCACTGCCTGCCTTACAAATATTTATTCAATGCAAATAAATGCAATCTATGCAGGCACATCAAAGGTCAATGATGTAATATTTTACAAATGATAATTATTATTGTACTTATAACAAAACTTTATAAATGAGCAATATAATTAAAATTAATTTAAGTTGCAGCTTATGGCTACTTTTGATTTTTTGTATGTAAGAAATATACTTTGACAAGTATGATTTCTATTTCATCAATTTTATTTGAGAAAATTTTGAGAGATGTGAAAAAACCTTTTAAAATGAATATTGATGCCTAATTGTACTCATTCAATTAAAGAATATATTTTTCGAAACTTTCTCGTTAATGCAGCTCATCTTGATATGTTGGTTGGGAGCTCTAGGCATCAACCAAATGTCTCGGGTTCGAAACTTGCGTATGTGAGTTTTCCTTAATAAATTTTAATTTTTTAAAAAAATATCACATACATTATTTTAGTGGATATGTCTAAAAAAATTTTTAATGATCGGCATTGATTTTGAGGCAAAATTTAAATAAAAATCTTTCAGAATTAAATTCAAGATGAGATGGACTTTAATTTTAGCTAACTTATTGATTTGAATGTCTTAAAAAAATGAAACAAATGATACTAAAAGACTAAAAGTGGTCCAATTCAAGCTTAAATGCAACCAAATCAAGCAATTTATGCATAATTGATGATTTCAAATATTAATTTGATGACCAAATGATATCTAAATTTGACATGCTTTTGCTTAATTTTTAGAAAATTAATATGAGTCATTCAACAGATAGCTTTGGATTTTGGTCAGATTTATCAATGTAGGCATTTCAAAAAGCCTTTAAATAGGGCTATATCCTTTACTTAAATGGGATATTCAAAGCTAAGATAACTAAAGATCTCGTTAGCATTGTTTGGTTATAATCACAGATGATCATTAGGGGTGTCAATTTTTGACACGACCCGAAACCCGACCTGAACCCAACACGGAAAAAATTCGGGTTAGGGTCAACCTGAATTCGAAATGGATCGGGTTCGGGTTCAACAACTCAACCCGTTTTAAAAATCGGGTCGGGTTTGGGTTGACCCAGCAATCCGAAATTGACTCTAAATTGACATGAAAACTCGAACTTGACCTAGAAACCTGATATTGACCTATTTTTGACTCGAAAATCGAAGATGACCCAATTTTTTACCCAAAAATTAGCAATTTTGGGTCAACCATGGGTCATTGGTGTCGGGCTGGGTTAACCCGGACCCGAATCGGGTCGGGTTCGGGTTGACCCAAATAGTACCGGGTCAGTTCCGGGGTTCGACCCAAAGCCAACCCGTTGACCCGAAATGACAGCCCTAATGATCATCATCAATTTTCGTCATCGAAGACCATCACCAACTTTGATCACATGTTGACCACCACCAATTTCCGCCATATCTCCAAACCCATGTCAAGATATATCCCTGTTATGTGAATACTATAATTTTACTATCAAAACCAAATATCCTGTTGTAGGCGTATATTTATCCAATGGATTTCAGCACATGTTATTTACCGCCATCTAGCTATCTAATTACTAAAAAATTTAAAAAAATAGCCAACACGTACATATATACAAGTATACAACACATCTAAAAAAATAAATATTAAAATTAAAAGTATATTACATATATAAATAACTTAAGTTAATAGCTACTTAACACTAATTTCAATTTTTTTTTTTATTTTGCCCTACTTGCCCATAAATTTTTATTTTTTAACAAAAGAATAGTTTCTCTCAACTTCAAGCTAACAATTAATTTATAATATTGTTGCGTCCTGGAATATTCGCGGCGGTAGAGAAATATATAGTTTAACGTCTTAGCGTTGTACGAAGATCCAGCACACAATCAGATAAGTGAGAGGATGTAGCATTCATAAGTGACACCAGAGTTTTTACGTGGAAAACCCCTGAAAAAGGGGGAAAAACCACGGGGCCTAGCCCAGTTTGAATGAATCCACTAGTATTTGTAGTCGGTTACAAATGAGGCCCTTCCTTAGGAGAAGGCCTTGGATTGATGTAGCAAATATACATCATATAGATTGCATTACATGGTAAAAGTTACATATACAGGTTTGTTTGGCCTGAAGGACCGTAGTCGGCAGGAGACCGTAGTCGGCAGGAGACCGGGGTCAGAAAGACCGTTGTCTGTTGATGGAGGTCGGAAGGACCATAGTAGGCGACGAAGGCCTGAAGGACCGTAGGCAGTAGGAGACTGGGGTCTGAAAGACCGTTGTCTGGTGATGGAGGTCGGACGGACCGTATTAGGCGACAGTGGTCAGAAGGACCGTAGGCGGTAGGAGATAAGGAGTCAGGTGTTAGTCCCAGTGTCACTTGGAAGATCGGATGTTGATGGTCTGGCCTTGAGTAGGACGTCGGGTCTTAAGCAGGACGTCAGGTCTTCAGCAGGACGTCGGGTCTTCAGCAGGACGTCGGGACTTAACGTCGGGCCTTGAACAAGACGTCGGGTCTTTGGCAGGAAGTAGGGACTGAGTGTCAGGCCTTGAACAAGACGTCGGGTCTTTGGCAGGAAGTAGGGACTGAGTGTCAGGCCTTGAACAAGACGTCGGGTCTTTGGCAGGACGCCGGGGATGAACGTCGGGCCTTAAGGTGGTGGTCCGGTAAGCTTGCTGAAATCGGAGTTGGGGTGCTCTCGGAATTAATTTTTGAAGTTTCCAACTAGCTTTCGCCTCGAGATTCGTGCCCGATCAAGCTAATTTTGTGATGCCGTATCAAATATTATTAATTATTTCTTCTTTAATTGAAATTAAGATATTGACTAAATTTAAAATATAATTTATATTTAATGAGAATTTAAAATAAACTTATTATATGAGAAAATTAAAATATATTTATATTTTATTTTTTAAGGTTTTTAAATATAATATTATAATGATGTGTTCATCACATACCATGCTCATAATCTTATATCAATATCAACACAATACTTCATAAATCCTTAAGGGCAACCTTATTAAGTCATTAGGGTTTTACAAATATATCCTAAAGTTCTTAAATATTTACATACTAAATACCAAAAATTTTATATTTACTTTTATAGAATTTTAATGTCTGATTTGTATTTAAGTATATGTATAATAACATATGTTTTACTTTTAAAAAGTTACATTATTGATATTTTTAATTTGTTTTAATGTTTGGAATTTTTTATAAAAAATAAAAAATTTATGTATATTAAATGTAAATATATAATCCAGCTAAGCTATTTCTCTATTTTTTTTCCAGTGCATTTGTATTCCATGATCTACATAAGCAAAACGGACGGTTGTGATCAGCTCTGACTGCCCACCGTGTGGTCCCAAGTGTCGCACTTTAATAATGTGAACGAGGCTCCATTCTAAGACATTCTAAAGAGTCCAATGCGCGTGCATTACGAGTTGCTCATGCAAATGAGAAGCAGCTTAGAGAAAGTTCTGAAAGGGTATAATAGGTAATTTACACATTTCATTTGGTAGAAAAATTATTGGAGGAAAAAAAGAAAAAAAAATCTAAATTAATTTCTTTTGGGAAATTTAGAGGGCAAAAGCCCTGATTTCATTGATACAAAATAGTTAAGGTGAGATCATGTCTGATGATATAACCAATAGTGGAGGGGCTGTTCCAGGTGTTATTAAACCTACGATTGTTCCTTTCTCTCCAGAGGTAATAAACAACACTACAAATAATGAGGCAACAGAAGTCCTTATCCCCATTGGAAAAGCCATGGGCTGTATCAAAAAAGTCAAAAGCCTGCAGCAGATTCGGTCTCAGAAGGAAGCAACCAAGTTCAGGCAACAGCTTCGAGATAACAGAGAAGGAAAAATCACATTCAAAAAATAGATGTGAATGGTTCTCATAGCCACGGCAAATTATTGCGTCAGGTGACCGAATGCAGAGATGCGTTCGGTCTCTCTCTGTCTACAGTAACCTGCGCTTTACTGTAGCACTGCTACAGTAAAGCGCAGGTTACTGTAGACAGAGAGAGACCGAACGCATCTCTCTGTCAGGTGACCTGACGCAATAATTTGCCCATAGCCACACTGACGAAACGAGAAAAATGGATCAACATCAATCGATCTAAATCTTAATTAGAAGATCCGCACATTTCAACCCCTCAAGAACAGGCTTAAAAAATCTAAATTAGATTATAGGGTACCTTGAAAAGCTAATATGACCAAAAAGTACTTATAAGAGTGTTTGCGACAGCTTTCTATCTGTTTTGCGTTTTGCTTTTCAAATTATAATCATAATTTTATTTTTGTTTTGCTACTATATTATTGTTGCTTTCACGCTGATTTTCA